CAGTGAGTGGCTGGGTGGCTGCTGCTGCCAGCACCTGACACATCCTCTGCCCCAGGAAGCCATCGCCTTGCAGTTCCTTTTTGCAATCACCTAGGAGGAGGAAGAAAGAGGAGGGCACTCCACCTGTGCAGCTCTGCCACCAGACGCCCTCCAGCACAGCTTTTGGGGACACGTCGTGGTCCCCCCCAGTAGCCCGGGCAGACCAGGAACACTCAGGCTGCCACCCCCAGCGTGGAGGGTGCAGCATCCATCTCACCTGGCTCCTTCCAGAACAGCCTGCAGGGATTTCTTCAGAGCTGCGTTGCTCCGATCCAGCGCGGCAGCCAAACGGCTCCGGTGGGCTGGGGTGACCTAAAATGGACAAGAGCAAGATGCTCAGAGAGCTGCACTGCCAGCAGCTCCCCTGGGCCAGCTGCAGCCCTGGTTGCCAGCTCATCTGCAAGACCCCAGCCTGGTCTTGCCTGGCGTTGGTACATGGTGAGCACGGCTGTCACCAGCTTGGCGTAATTCAGCGACGTGGCAAAGGCTGGGGCCTGTCGGCACAGGGTCAGGACCAGCAGATCGAAGAGCTCGGGGGGAAGCACCTCCTGGAAGACAGGAGAGTTGGTCCTTGCCCCAGCACTGCTGGGGAAAGCTGGGGGAACAAGGGGGGGGGGGTCTTCTCACCTGCCTCCCCAGCACAGCTTGCACCACTGGCAGGAGCTTCTCTGACAAAGGCACCTCCAGGACCTGGCTGCAAGGGACAGTGAGGAGGACACACCATGCTCAGCCAGCCTTGCTGGTGCTCCTGAGCAGCTGGAGCCAGTAGGAGCCATCGAGGGAGGCTTGAGGGCAGGAGCAGAGCTGACACCCCTACAGCCTCTTACCTTAGCACCAGTCTCACACAGTCTGGCTCCAGGCACTCTTCCACAAGCTCACACACCAGCTTGGTCTGCTCAGCATCTGCAAGGGCAAAGCAGAAGAGGGAAGAGACTCCAGAGGCTGCCAAATCCAGAGGGATGGGCCTGACCCTTCCTGGAACCCCTTCACACAGGGATACATTCCAGTCAGGACACTCAGAATCCACACAGTGCCCCCTTCTACCATTCAGGATAATCCATGTTCCTTTGCCCATCTGCAGCAAGGGTTAATAAACACCATTCTTCAGGAAAAGGGGATGCTACTGTGGCAGGGATTCATGCAGGGACCCTGCCTCTCTGGGACAGTTTTGACCCCAACATTAAGGAGTTGTGAGGAACCTCAAGTCCACAGAGGGATGGCAGCTGCCCTTTGGGAGAACAGCTGTTGGAAACCCACCTGACCTCCCCTCCCTCTCAGTCACCTGTAAAACCCATCTCACATCCTAACTCCGAAGTGTTCACCAGCCCAGATAAAACCAGCACCATCCCTCCGTGGTTCCTAATACACATTTTGGGTGATAAATGCCTCCCACCAGCCATTTAGGAGCCCTGGAGCCCCTGTCCAGCTCCCTCAGCTGCTCCCAGAAGCTGCCATGTCTCCTGCAGGCCCCTCACACCTTCCCCTGGCTCCCCCAGGACCGCAGGCACCAGCACTCGACAGAAGGGCTGGGAATACTTGGAGCAAAACAAAGCCAGGGCAGCCATGAGGTGGCGAGAGGGTGGCTGGGTGAGGGACAAGACCTGCAGAGAGAAAAGGCAGGAGGTGGGGATGGTGGAGAGGGAAACAGGGTGCAGGGAAGTCTCTGCCCCCACAACTTACTCGCCTGAGGAAGAGCTGCTCTGCCAGGACAGCAGCGCTGGTGTAGCTGAGGTCAGGGGTGAGAGCCAGCAGGCAGCTGCAGAAACGCACCAGGAGCTGCTCTGGGCACATGGAAAGCTGGAGGAAGGAGCAGAGCCCCTCGAGCTGGGGAGAGCAGAGGGACCAGGGACATTAGGGACAGCAGCAAGCTCTCTGTGGCACCAGTGGTTGCAAGCAAGGGTGCTGAGGCTCACCTGGCCAGGAGAACAGTTGTTCAGGACACTCAGCTCTGACTGCTGCAGGGAAACATGGTCCTTTGAGGAATACACCAAATAAAGCAACCCATCAAACACAGCTCCAGGGCTTCTCTCTCCCCCACTTCAGCCAGCACTGACCCTACAGGCTGCCCACCATAGAGCAGATCCCAGCAAGGTGGAGGCAGGTATTAGGACCTCAACCCAGAGGAGGTGTCAAAGGGGCTTTTTATTCCCCTCTAGCCATCCCTGCAAAACCCACCTCCTCTCCCATCCCTTCCAGAGGGATCCCAGCCCATCAGCTCCAGGAAAGACAGAAGCAACCACTTACGCTGGACTCCTTCTGCAGCAGCATTTTCAGCCTTAGTCCATGCACCTGCAGAAAATGAGGTGAAGGAACAGAAATTAGACTGCAAAGACTCACTGGTTGGGAGGGGAAAGCAAATCCTGCCCAGTACCTGGAGAAAGGACTGGACCTCTGCTGCCAGCTCTGCCTGGAAAACCTTCCTGGGCTCCCCAGACGCATCCTGTTGGGAGCTTTCCAGAGCAGCTCCAGCCAGACTCTCAGCAGATCTGTCCCCCAAAGTCTCCTCAGGCACTTCCTCTTGCATCCCTGCCTCATCTCCACCCTCCTGGGTTCCCAGGGGATCAAACGCTGCCTCCTCCTCCAGCAGCAACCTCTTCCCCTCTCTCCCCTCATCCAACTCCAGGCTCTCCTCCAACTCTGTCTTGCGCTTCCCACCTTGAAGCACTGGGTCAGCCATGCCCCCAGTGGCACTGGGCTGCTGGCTGAAGCACCAGTTTAGATTTCTTCGCCCCTCTGGTTTGCTCTGGGCAATTTTCTGGCACAGACTCCTAAGCTGCTGCTGGCAGGTGGAAGACAAGGCAACAGGAGGTGGGAAACACTCCCCTTCCCTTGATCCTTTCCGGAGCAGATCCCCCAGTGTCCGCACCCAGGGATCCACGTGGGAATCCTGCTCCAAAGCCTGGAGCAGCTGGCTGAGGCAGCCTGCTGGCACCGCGGCCTGCACCACATGCAGCAGGGAGAAGAGGTTTCTCTGGCACACAACAGGGAGCAGCAGCAGGCGGGGTTTGCTGGAAAAGGGGAGAAAAAAGGGAAAAGGCAACAAATCAGACACCTGTTGCCAACCTGCTCCACAGAGCAGGGTCTAAGCAGACTAGGAAGCAAGAGGAGGCAGCAAACATCTGCTTTCTAGACACAAGCCAAAGACAAACAGGTCCCTGCTATGATTCTGACTTCACGGGTGGATTGTTGCACCAGGGGGGATGATGCACGGTGCTGAACTGGCCACCCGACATGCCAACCCTCCCACAAAACACCCGAGTTCTGGAAACGCGGCCAACTCACACAGCCAGGGCCCTCTCTGGCCCCTCCAGGGTGGGCTCCTCAGCACACAGGGCCGAGGTGAAGCTCTGCCAGGGAAACGCCTGCCCCGGTGCCCCGGGGGCCGGGACCCGCTGCAGCATCCGGAGGGCAGCGAGTGTCCCGGAGGAGCCGGAGGCGAGGATGTGCAGCAGCAGCCGGCACGGCCTGTCCCCCGCACGTTGCC